TTTCTACTCCCGTAAAGATTTACACCCTCGGAAACCCTGTACAGGGTCGCTATGGGTCGGAACCGACTCGATGGCACTTAACAACAACAACAACAACAACTATATGCTATATTTGGATAGGGCCAGTGATGACATTTACATTTTCTAGTGAAACTTTCTGACCGACTCATTTAGACAGTGATTTTTCCCATTTATTATAAGAAATTGGAGCGCTGTTGTGGCATTTCAGTATAAGCACTGAAATGTTAACCACAAGGTTGACAGTTCAAACCCACCGGTCATTCCTTAAAAACACTATACAAGGTCACCGTGAGTCAGAACTGACTCAATGACACTTAACAACAACAGTAATTATAAGAACTTATTTTTATTCATAGTAGAAATACAATTTTTTGTGTCTTGCTGCTTATTTATTAATATATGCTACTTATTAATATATAGCTACAGTTTTAATAATTCTAAGTCTGTAAAATTTGGATGAAATGTTTATTTTAAAAATATATCTGTATAAGATTGTTATGAGTTGGTACCGAGTCAATGGCACCTAACAACAACAACAACAGGCTTATTATTAGAGAAGGCTGTTATCTCAATTACAAGTTAATAATTTCTAGAATTGGAGAGATTAAGAACTTTGTATTTTACAGTCCAAATGAGTAATTTTCTACCCTAACAGATTTGAGTTTGTTTTTTGTCTCACTTTGATTAATCTTGTCTTATTTATGGAGAAATACTTTTAAGTAATATGTTATTAAGGCTAATACTTCCATTTTTAAGGAGAACCTGCGTTCCTTCACAAAAGATGCTCATGCTTTAATTTATAAAGATCTTCCTTTTGAAACTTTGGAAGTTGATGCAAAAGTGGCATTAGAATTATTTCAGCACAACAAGTAAGTGTTAGTTTTTTGAAGCAATGTTAAAAGTCTCAGAATTACATATAATAAAAGAAATTCAGCTCTTAGAATTGGCAACTTTTATTTTCAGCTCCAAGATGTATTCTCCTGCACTAGGCTGTTACTGAGAAAAACATTGTCACCAACTGTTTTACTTCTCCATTTGTTGGCCAAATATACATACAAAGTGGTTTTGTCCCTTTTCTTTCCTTTGTGAAATGATAACATATATTAAGAAACTATTACTTTGTGTGCTTTTGTAGACTGTCCCATCCTTCCACTCTGAATAGAAAAGAATAAATTAAAAATGCCTGTAATTTGAAAACTAATGCATTTACATGACTAGGTCATAAGTATTCTGCCTGTAAATTTTCCTGTTGGATATTTTTTGTCACCATTTTAAATCCTGCTTTCCCATTTTCCCATTCAGGTAATATCTTTTTTTAGCTGTAAGTAGTTAAAATTTAATATCAATCTAATTGAAAATTTGAGCTAATTAATTAAAAAGGGAAATCTGCTGCAAAAAAAAATACAATTTATGAGTATGTCTTAAAACAAAATCTACAGTCACAAATTGTGAAAGGTTATGAATTAGATTTTCTTTAGGTATTTAGAAATCAGTCACACATTTTCATAGGAGTAGTTTATTATACATATATTCTTGAGTTTATCCAAAAAAACCTTCTTGATACACACTTGTCTTTTCTCAAACATATATCCCTTAGAATGTTCTTCCATAAGACATTATTTGGTATGCTGAAAAATATGCACTGTGTCCAATTAACTTTGGAAAAACTGGCATAAACAAATTTAATCAGTTTTTAATAATTCATGTGCACTGTAAAGTCTCCCAAAGTAGATTTAGAAAGCGGCAATATTTTCTAATTTTATGTGTCTTTTAATATTGATTACACATTGAAATGATAACATTTAAGATATATAGTGAAGGACCTTACTATGAATGAGCTCATTTTGGGGATTTGAGGATTTAAGGTACTTGTGGAACATCCTAGTGAGGGATCAGAAAGGTCTTGGATATACAGTTTAGGGCTCAGAAGGCATGTGGATTAGAGGCAGGGGTATAGGGTATCTAAAATGCTTTAGTGATTAACTAAAATTGTGCAAATCCAGGAACTAGCCTAGAGAAAGTGCTTAGGGTGACAAGAGGGTCTAGAACAGAATCTGCAGGAACACTACATTTAAGGAAAGAGGAGAAAAAGAAGATTGGCAGAGGTGAAATACACAGAAGAGTGTGTGATAGAAGCCTGTGGAAAGAACACTTTAAGAAGTAGTGCTGTAGCTACTTAAAGTAAATAAATACCTGCTGATTTACAGAAGTAGATATTGTTCAGCAGCTTAATTGTGATGAAATCATCGAAGAATTTCTAAGAGCTTAGAAAGAAAAAATTTAAATGATAATATGGTAGCAATGAGAGATCTATCAAAATAAAATCCAGTAATTGGCTGAAAAAAAAAAAAAAAAAGTAGTGAGCAGTGATACGGAAATGAAGAAGCAAAAATATCTATTAGGGTGACACCAAGGAGGCACCTGTGACTTTGGTGAGAACAAGTAGGTGGAGTTGTGGGCCTGTGGTCAAATTAAAAGGAGAGGATAAGGGGATGGGAAGCAAGAAGGGGGTGGGGAGGCTCAAGTATAGACCGCTCTTTCAAGAAGTATGGCTGAAGAGGAAGAGAAAGAATGTTACCTTTAAACAGCTTTTTGTATATTTAAAGGTTTGGGTTTTTTTCCCCCCGTTTCTTTGCTGTTTGTCAGGTACAAAATAGATTTTATAGAAGAGAAGGCATCGCAGAACCCTGAGAGAACAGTTAAACTAAACAAGTAAGCAAAAATCTAAACGCTAACTCCTTTTCTAATTAATAGTAAGGCTTAGCATTATTGCTACCAGAATGAAGTGTACAATGAAAATAGATGAATTTGTACCATGTCATTACCTTTTATGACTTTATATTTTATTCCTCTGTTCATTATTTATTATCAAGGGAATTGGAGATTTTTAATTATTTTCAGAAACAGTTGTGGTTTCTGTTCCTCATTGTTATTTTTATTTCTGCATTTCAAAAGTTGAAAAAGCCATTGTATAAAAATTGATAATTTGAGAGTTATTTTTAATTTCAGAATTGCATATAAAATTGTTATGGCTGGAACATGATAGTTCATATGTATGCAGAAATATGGATACTGACTAATCAGTTACTACTTAGGTTATTGTTGTTGTTGTGTGCCATCAAGTCAATTCCGACCCATAGCGACCCTGTATAGGGTTTCCAAGGAGCAGCTAGTGAGTTTGAACCGCTGACCTTGCAGTTCAAACAGCTTTGCAGTCTGGCACATTAACCCACAGTGCCACATATATGTAAAACCAAATGTGCTTTCTGAAGTAGGGATGAAAGGTTTACTGCTCATGTTGATAGTCTTCTATGGACAACAGGTTCCATGACAATGTGTCATACAAAGTTGACTTCATGGCTTTTATATGCTGCCTCACATCATGTTTTGTTAGGACTTACCTTTTTCCCTCTAGAAGTCTGCTCTTTGTTTCTGGACATCATCTGTTCTACATAATGTCACCAATGAGCTTTGGTGAGGCTGTAGGATGTTAGTTTTAGATATTGGAACCCTTGATAACATGATGTGTTCAGTGACTTAAACTTTGAAGTTATATTAATACTTAGGAAGAAAAAGTTTCACTTGACTTTAATTTTTCAAAAAAGATTTTGGTTTCTTGATTTGAGATCATTATGCCAGGGGTTGTTAAAACCAAATTGAGCCATGATAAATGTTCTTGTTCATGATAGAATGTTTTTTTGGACCTAGGGTGGTGCATATTGGCAAAAAATAAGAATAAATAGATTTTTTTTTTCCCAAATTGACAGTCATAAGTGGTTTGGTTTCAAGATTTTATTTATTTATTTTTAAATCAAATCAGATTTGGTGATTTCATAGATGTGAGTGAGGGCCCTCTTATTCCAAGAACCAGTATTTGTTTCCAGTATGAAGTATCAGCGGTTCACAATCTTCAAGCCAAACAGTCAAGTCTTGTACGAAGATTCCAGGGTCTTTCTTTACCTACTGATTTAAGAGTAAGTAAAACTTCCAAGTTTCAATGCTTTCAGTTTGAGAACGGTTGTATTTGGTTTGATTTTATACCAATTTGAGAGATACAAATTTTTATTTTCACCAAGTTGTGTGACACTGTGAGTTACAAACTCAGTTTTATGATTAAAAACAATTTTGCCTATGATGTAAATAGATAATTTACTAAAGAAGCTGTTGAAACTTTGAATAAAATGAAGATAATATTTTTAATTTTTCAGATTATCACAGATGAGGGTGGATTGAGAGGGCATTAGGGTACATATTGCTAAGATCCTTCTGGAATGCCTTTTGGCCTTATATTTGGCATGTTCTTCTCATCTATTTTAATGATCTATTTGTAATCTGAGGAATGTGATGGCTTCATAAGATAGGCACTGAACTGTGAACCACTTGGTCTGTGGTTTGAGCCCGCCAGCCGCTCCACAGGAGAAAGGTGAGGCTTTCTGCTCCTATGAAAATGTTAAGCCTCAGAAACCCTATATAGGATCACTATCAGTTGAAATCAACTCGATGGCGCTTAACCCACTTTAATCTGGCACTATAGGGTAAGCACTAGACTGCAAGGTCAGTTTGAACCACGCAAGATCAGTGGTTCAAACTCAACAGCTGCTCCTTGGAAACCCAATACTGGGTTGCTAAGTTGGAATCAACTAGACGGCACTTGACCCTGCCTTTCTACCACCAGATGTTTCCCACTGGTCTGCATATGCACGCTTGTTCTCTACCTTCTCTTTTATGATAGTGAACGATCTGTGTCTGCTTTTATCAAAGACCAACCGTGGTATTGTTTCCTCAGATTTCATTCTCTCTCGTCTTCTCTAGGACTCCATTTCTACAGTTATTCTACCATCAATATTTCCCTTTCAGAAAGATTTCCATTAGCATTTTAAATATCTTATATCTATCAGACTGCCTCCTTAACTTTACATCCCCTGTGTAGTGTGTGACTCACTTTCTTGTTTTCTACCTATAGGTATCTCTATCTGTAGTTTTTGTCTCTATTTCACTTCTCATTCTGTCTTCAACTTGCTCCAGTTAAGCTTCCACACGTCATTGCTCTGAAACTAGCTTGTAAAGGTCTACAAAAAAAAGAAACAAACACATTGCCCTCAAGTTGATTCCAACTCTTAGCACCCTACAGAAGGATTTCAAAGTCTATTGAAATAAAGATTTCAGAATCTTTATAGGAGCGGAAAAACTTACCTTTCTCCCAAAGAGAATTGGTGGATTTGAACTGATGACTTTGCTCTTAGCAGTCCAGTATCTAACTCATCACCACTGGCCAAGGTTTTCAGTGACCTCCATGTTGCTCAGTGCAGCAGTCATATTGCTGTTTTTCTTCATAAGTATAGGTAAAGTTCATCAAATTGTAGTGGGTTACTTTTTTTTTTCCAGAGTACTTTTTTTTAATACACAAATCAAATCACATTTCCCTGCTTCAAACTTTGTAACTATTCCATAAATAAAATCCTAAACTTTTACTTCCCTCACAGAAGTCTACATTATCTGTCCTTGCCTACTTTACTGAATTCACCTCTTCTCTCTCTGTCCTTCACCCACTGTGCTCTGGCCACACTTATTTCCTTCTTGAATCTGGCAAACTGATCCCCACTGTAAAGTTTCTGCACTGTCTGTTCGTACAGACTGTGCCAAGTATGACTTTTATTTAAGCATATCATACTACTTTTTCCTCGCAAGGGGTTTCGGGTGGATATTTTATAATGTTAACTTTTATTAGAGATCTTGCCGTCTTATTGAGCATGAAATTGTCACTGGCCCACCCATATGCCTCAGTGTCACCTTCAACTGACTTGCATAGTTAATGTTTATTATTGTGCTCTTTGCAGAGTTTTAATTAATGCATTCTGATAATCCTCTGCTGCATAAGAGTGTTAAGGATTAATGAAATTGGTTCTGCAATTTTACTACTATCTTTGTTAGGTTTCACTTTTTCCTTAGTATAATTTGCTATTGCTGGATGTGTCATTTTGCTGTGAAAATGTCACAATCGCTTCTTAATAAACTTCTCCTGGTGATTACTTATGATTTGAAGAATGGCCTCTAACCAAACCTAAACCCATTGCCATTGAGCCAACTTAGACTCATACTGGCCCTGTAGGACAGAGTAGAACTGCTGCATAGGGTTTCCGAGACCGTAAAGCTTTAGTGGAGCAGACAGCCTCTTTTCAACCATGGAGTGGCTGGTGGAGTTGAACTGCCAACTTTGCTGTTAGCAGCCAAACACTTAACCTACTACACCACCAGCCCTTTTTAGAATGAGCCTTAGCATGTTGAAATTAACTATTCATGGAAAGAACTATAGTTTGTGGGAAACTAGGACAGGATTTTTTGCTTCCTATTAGAAGGAATGCTTTCTATAATGAAAATGATTAAGAGGCACAAGAGAGGAAGATGGTATATTCAGTTCTTAAGCAGGTGTTCCCTAAATGACAAACAAAGCACCTGTTTTATGCAATGTCATTTTCCTTACTCTGACCCACTTTTATAACCATATATGTGCTGCCTAACTATTTATTTTGTTTAAACTCTATATGAAGACTCAGTCCCTTTTATTTTAGCTTTACTACTTTGTTTAATTCATACTAAATCTTTTCTTTTTAAGGCACATTTTACAATATGGAATAAGCTGTTGGAAAGATCTAAGAAACTGGTAAGTGTTTTTGACAACTGATTGAGAACTTTTTTATGAAGAAATTGTTTTCTTTGAGATTAAGCATCAATAACCAAAATTAAAAAGGAAATGAATAGTCTCAGTAGCCAAATCAGTGCTGTGATTGTTTATCCCAGTAGTATTTTGGCAGAAGGAAAGTTATAGTTTGGAAATTCTCTTTTGATTTTATTTGTGTATGTCATAGAAAGGATAATGTAGACCCTGAAGAGTAAAAAGATATTTCCATATAGTAGTAAAAGATATTAATGGTTGTAATGGTGTTAAGTAAGTCTTATGATAATTAAAAAAATAAATCTAATGAACATTTAAAGGATTAAAATTTGAGAGGTTGTGGTGCTGTTTGGTGGTTATATGC